GGTAAACCTTTTTTTACGTTTACGAATTTACTACAATGTTTGAACGCTTTTAGTGAAGATTAATAACTATAAGCGTGATATAGAACCGTTTATTCAAATATCTATCCCCAGATTTCGATTTTATAGAATTAGTCCCAGCAGACGACTACTTAGTTATGTACAACCACAAATTTTGTTGTGTCAGTATGATAATTTTTATGTTATTGGCTAAGCATTGATCATTTGCTTTGTACGTGACAGGATAATGGGATGTACCAAAATTTATTAATTGGTTCGACATTTGGTACTAAATTCTTCTTATCCCACCCAACTTTCACAGTCTTTGTGAAAAGTCGCATATACACTGTTGAGAAACTAAACACAAATACACATACTAATAAAACATTGCATTCAGATAACCAACATTGAGTTTTTTATGCCCATCGAAGTACAAAACGGGCTACAAATCATCCTCGACCTGGATGACATCAGTGCGACCATACCTTATCTTATGTATTGGATGTTTTTCTGATTTCTATGTACTGTATAAACTTGTGTCAGTTGAAATAACGTTTTCACTTTCTGAACAGCTGACACACATTAATCTGTAAAACGTCAAATATCCGATTCTTTGCACTTTCAAACATGACAAATAGTGATATAGGTGTTTTATGGTATTCGTCACATATTGATCACACTTCTCACTAGTACTCCAACAGATGTCAGCCAATGAAGAATTCCACCTGAAAGTCAAATCGATTTGCGCATTACCCCTCTACCAGTGCCATAATCACGTGTCACCTATGACTTACTTTGAGTTGATCATTTCTCATGAAAAGTTATGACTCCTAGAATTTAGCCATGTTATAAGAATACTAGTAGTAACCGATGTCATTGGATGGTAATTGCACTATATTTCCAGTTCATTTAAGTTGGAAACATGTATTGGCAACCAACCATGAGACTCAATGTCGAAAGGTCAACTTCAAGATATGTAGCACCTCATTTTTGCTCTCTAATCTGAGTTTTACAGAGGAGACGAAACAACAGTTTGATACTTCTTATCTCTCAATGCTACCACAATTAAAGTGAATCTGTGACGAATATAATGTACAATGGTAGTTATAAACAATTTATTATGTTGAAAATTATATAATAATTCTATTCACTGGATGAAAATTTCAATAAACTATTGATAACGATAAGCTATCTGAATAGGTATTATAGATACATCACATTGTAGAAAAAATCTTCATCCCTGGTTGAGTATATAATAAAACCTATAACTTGAAATTTCTCATTTTTATATACTGTACCTCTGATGATATAATTCTTATAGAGATTAAAACGCCAAATAGATATCCATTATTATTATTATTATTATTAAGAGATTATTTTATTGATTCTATACATTACTTTAAATGTTCAATATTAAAACAGATTACGTTTTAGAACAACATATATAAGCGAAGAATATTGTTTTCCATTAGACCATCATCAGGCTTTACTTTATTATACAATAATATTTATATGCATATATGAAATTATTAAACCAATCAAGGCAGTTTATGAGTCAGTGACAACAGTGGAATAGATTACATAACTAAACATAATAAGTAGAAAGTACAAATTGGTAGTGTGATGACAAGTGTACTAGTTGTGATAAGAATAATAAAAGCTTTTCATTCACTTGGTGTTGCTGACTTGTATCTTCTCATTGTTATTTAGGACTGTAATTGATCACTCTCTTGTTGACAAATATTTGCATCCTATGCGGAATGCCTCGATATTGCTTTAGGTCACAGACTATACGACATTTTATGACTAATATGTAAAGTTATCTATTTAATAAAATACATTTACAGCTATTCAGTTTGTATTGCCTTGATATACCGTTAATTCACAAGCATTGTAAGCTAAGATGGATAGTGGCTAGCAATGGAATCCAGGACGCTATACGCACAGTATGCACATATGCCAATTAGAGACTGACCAGTTGCAGTCCTAAACACATCAATAGGAACATTCAAACAAACAATACTAAGTGAATTTCAACTCGAACCGATTGCACAAGCAAGTGACTATGAGGACTCATTGGTCGAGTGAATAACGTGATGGCATTTGAAGCGAACGGTACTGGGTTGCAGTCCCACAGTGAACATCAATTCCGAGATGCAGGTACATCCAGCTGACGAGTCCCTAATGGGACGAAACGCGCGTCTTGGATTCCACTTCTAGCCACTATCCATCTTTGCTTATATATATATATATTGTTTAAAAAATCGCATTGTTATAATCCTAAATCGATTATTAATCATTCCCAGGTGATCATTTCAATATTTTTCCATAGTATAAAAATATTTCTATGCATCATCAATAGAGAAAAGTGGCAATCATTTACTCATTAATGATAATCTTATTGAAAGTATCCATTAATGACCAAAAATAAAAGTTTTACTTCATAATGGAAAATAAATCAAAAGTTATGCCAAATATAAGATAATTCATCGACAGAATTTTTTTATTATTTAAATGTTAGATTAATACTAAAATATATATCGGTGATCTTTAGTACACTGATAATAGTATTTTAATGATTGACGTAACAGCATAGTTCCTCAGTATTATTCATCATTATCGTAGTATTTATATGAGCCAGAACAGACAACATAGTTATATCTGAATGCTCACTCATTTTAATTTGGTCAACTTTGTATTTGTTTAGGCTGAATCTGGACGTCGCTAACGCGTGTTTATGAAAACGTTTTATGTAAATTTGAAACTAATAATGCTTATTCCTGATATTTGTACAATTATCTATACATCAGTGACATTATGTTGTAGTTTTGAATTATGTAGTTCAACGGATGACTAATAGATTAAAAAAAACGATGCCTTTATTACAACCAAACTAATTCATTTTTAGAGTTGAATTCATGAGTCGATCTAAGCTAGACAACCACTGGAAACGTGCAAGCAGCAGACGGCCGTTTCGCCCTAGTATGTGGCTCTTCGGCAGCGCGCGTCCACGATCCGGCACCTGGGATTGAAACCCAGGAGCTTCTATCTCGCGGGCAAACTCTTAACCTCTAGATAGTGCTTCCAGGTCTTCAGTGGTGGTCTAGCTTACTTCGACTCATGAATTCCACTAATGAAATTACTACAATCTCAATAAACACCATTCTGATCATAATTCATTTTCATCATCACAACATTATCACTTTATTTACTTTTATTGAATAAGACTGAGTCTTTTTTGTTTTCGTTTTTTTAAAATCTAAAATGCTTACAAATTGATAAAAGTTTATCATCAACTACAATTCAAATAACAGTTGATTATGGTTTTATCTTTTGGTTAGACAGAATTTAATTACTTTCAATACATACATTTATCTGCATAAGAAAGTGTATTTAATTAACCATGACTCATTTTTATTTGTTTATTTATTTATTTACCCATTTACGATGAATCACACCATAAAACTTGTCAGTACACTGATAAATAATCTGTTTATTTGACACAGAAAAGAAAATAGATATGTAAATGTAGGCTACATCATAATTACAAAATGGATACAGTCACATTGGTAACTAAAAGCTGTATACACTAATAATCAATCTCTCATTATTTTTAAAGTATCAGTAACCTTTTAGAATTTCAGATAAAATACTATAAGGAAATGTTCTGACTAAATATCAAGAAGATTTTGTTTCAAGATCTAATGGTCTAATTTGCATCTGATATAGAAGAATAAAAAAGAGTAAAACATTCAGTATATAGTATATATATACAACCTTTGCTCGTGTTTTAAAGAGTTAGCTGGGTCACATCAAAATATCAAATCTGTTTGTGTTAGGGGTGGCCAAACCAAAACGTGGCATCAGTGCTAGAAGTCACTAACCGCTAGTCTGAGCCATGTTGGTAAATGCACACTATGTGGTTGGGGTCCGCGTGACGATCGTAACTAGTGATTGGAGACTCTGTGTGACATGGTTCAGTATCGATCACAATGGTTATGTGTATACACTCTCTGTCTTCCCTTAAACTTTGAGATTAAAATTACTTTATATCTTTCTTCCTTTACTACATCATTATATACAGTTTTTCTTCTATAAATTACCACTATTAAATTAACTACTTCTATGAATTTGGTGTTCATCTTGTTGTGCATATGTGCCTGGTCCTACGTTGTAGCTGACTGACTGACTGATATCTAAAACACTAATGAAAGCACCTACATAATGTCAGTGAAATCACCCTATATATCTATCGTATACGCGTACACAAATACACATTTTCTAAAATAAATTACAAAACTTTAGTGATGTTAATTATCCTAAAATATAACAAACAATAAACATTTCAAATGTCGCTTAAAAAGTGTAAAGTCTAATAGAAAGTTTTGAAAAATAAATTTACTTAAAGGGTATATAAGAATTTTTGTCTAAATTTGATCGAATAGTTTCACCGTATTCGGGCGCCGAGTTGATTTGAAGAGGAAGAATGTATTTGTAAATTAGATCTTTGATTCTTATTAGTTTTGTTCTTTGAGTACATCCTTCCTCTTTAATCACATTAATAATGGTTATGAATGTCTTTTAGAAAAAAACGTAAACGTTTACTGACTACTTATCTGCACTACATTACATGTAATGGTATTTAAATATATAAAAAAAACCGGTCAAGAATCAAACCGATCAGTGTAATGCTTACAACAGTCACATCCAAGTGACTTGTTATTTATTCATTTTTTAAATAAAATTTATAACATTTACATTTTCTAAATGATCATTATTATCTGTCCACAAGCTTCAGAGGTAGACACATTTATGTATTCCAAAAATAATAAACACCTATGGTTTAAATGAGAATATAGGATCACTAGCAATATTTTTATCAATTAAACATCAGTTCGAAATATGCAGAATTTTTAACTTTCAATAATGGGGCAGCATGAAATAACATTCTAAAATAATTCTAAGAACTCAAAATATAAAATCATCTTAAAGTATAAACCTACTTTAACTCCCCAAGCATCTGTTGTTGCATCTAAGCTAGACTGCATAGCTGTAGATATTTCTTCTCTATCCATCAGAATTTGTGCCAAATCTTTAGTTCCTAAAACATTTCTTATAGTTGTTTGTGCTAATAGTCTAGTAGAACGTGCAGCATCTTCAATATTTAACACAGATGCAACTGGATTCAACACACGATAGTATACAACTGCATCCACTGAAACAGTTACTGAATCACGTGTTAATAATTCTTGTGGTGGGATCGCAAATGTCACCGTACGTAAATCCACTTTTCGTACACTATCAATACATGGTAAAATAAAAAATAATCCCGGCCCTTTTGTACCTTTACCTTTTGGTATTAAATTGCCCATTCTTAAAACAACAGCTCGTTCATATTCAGCGACAATACGTATACAATAGACAAGTGAAAATGGAAACGTGATTAAAATCAAAAATATACTTAACGCTGCTAAAAAAGTTGTTGTCCAACGCATACTTTTCCCTACAACCTCAGAATCATTTGGTGTATGATTAGTTTCTTGTGGAATTTCAGTTTGTTTTACATTTTTCATATCATCAGATGTCATCATTATATCAACTTCATTTTCATAAAGTGAATTCAAATGATTACCATTATGAATACGGTTAGATAAGGATTTAGATTGTTTCTTCATTATACCTTCTTGAGTTTTATGTGAAGTGTTTAGACGTATTTTACGTGTTATAAACTCAAAACAATGACATTTATCATATTTGATTAAATTGTAGGAATGTTTCTTTTGCCATAAATTTTCGTTTAATTGTGGAACATGTAGAGTTAGGACATCATCATAATTCAAATTGTGTTCATTTGATGTTTGAGATAATTCTTGATTATACGATTCAGATGTTACGGTTTTATCGGACGTTTTACAAGTATATGGACTTAAATTTGATTCAGTATCTTGCTGTTGTGATCGTGGTTCAACACCTTGGTTGAAATCAAGATTTGATGTCTCTTTGTACAATGATGTAGAATAAGAGGTATTCCCTGTTGAAGACATAAATCACCAAAAGATCAGTTTTCTGTCTACTATATCCATACTGTATTAAAACGTGTGGAGAATTTTATTTATGTAAAATATATAACTAGTGTTTTGGTGATATCATTATTAAGCTATAGATCATCAACCAATCTATTCAGTGTAACTCATCAAAATTAGTATCAAATAAATGACAATAGCATTTTTGCATCTTTTTAAAACAATCATTATGAATCCAAGACTAAAAAGCCAATAAATTATATTAAAAAGTATATTTATTCGGAGTTATACAAATACATACAATCATTAAATTTAAACACAAACACATACATAAGTTATAGGAGGAAAAACCACTTTTTTCCCTACGATTAATTTCCTCATTACAGACATATTTCTGTCAGTCTCTCTTTCTAAATTCTAATTGGTTAGTTTCTTCATGATCAACCACGTAATCATTGATGTTATGATAAACTGCATTAAAATAAAGTTGTCTATGCTGATGAGGGTACCAGAAGACTTGTAATCAAGGAACTGATAACAATAGGAAATCGATATGTTAATTTTTCAAATCTATGTTTTAATGTTCAAACAGTGTGGATAAAGGAATATTATCCAAGAAATGTGAGAAGTACAGAAATGAGTAATTTTATTTATAAGCAAAATAAATAAGTTGTAAGAATATAATCAGATTAGAAAACATTCGTTATTTAACTACTAATTGTTTGTATGTACAGTATGACGAAAATGTTTACCTAAAGTTATGTTTGAACGTGAGATTTCTCCGAAACCCAGTTTGTGAATGTCTTTGTTTTTATACTTTATAATAAAATGAAATTTACATAACTTTTTTTATGGTTGGATGTATCATGAAAGTTTCTCAGGTGTTATTGTACACGTTCCTGTTAGAAATGTTGAGGAATTATTATTATTATTATTATTATTATTATTATTATTAAATTCGTAGGTAAACAAAGAGTAAGAATGGTTTGGAAGTTAAAATAGTTACATAGAATTAAATGCATAGTGAAGTAATCATATTAGCAATACTAGAACGAGTATTCTTTTGTGAATATTCTCACTCAAATTAAATTGCTGTTAAATAGCATTTACAAGAGGTCAAACTGTAAATATACAACTTTATTGGACATAATGTTAATTAGACTTATACAAGCTACATATTGACTGAACAAATAGTTAGGAAATTTATCAAAAGTGATTTAATTTCGGTTTTGGTTAAATCGCCAGCTAACTCTAATATTCTGTTCCATTATTGCGTTGATAAGACAATACACTTACGATTGCATACGATCTCAGAAAGATTTAGTGTGGAACACTTTGTACATATTCCATGTTCATGTAGATAATGGTGGTATGTATAAACGTTTATTTCCAAGAATTCATAACGTAATGGTTAATCAGGATATCACTATCAACATATACGATAGTATATTCAGAGTTCTTCTATGCTCTAAATTTAATTAAAAGAGAATTAATGCAAAAGTGAAGAAGGAATTATCCTTTTCTGACCTGTTTATTTGACACTGGAATCAATAATCAATTATATATATATATATATATATATATATATATCCACTACCTGGCTCAAATTCAGATCGCCATAATCTTATTGACAGATTAATAGGTTACTATAAACACTAACAGAAAATCAAACTGATTTAGCTATAGAAATGTTGACGCTAGTCTCAAATATATTTTATTTATTATGATTGAATTAAAAGAGAAATACAGTGCTAAATTTTACTATCAATAAATGTACTTTGCTTCATTGATTTTCTTTTCAACAACATAAAATTGGATTTAAAGAGTTCAAAACTTGTTCATGAGAAGCATTTCATCGATTAGATAAACGTTTGAACTATGATGAGATAACTCTCTTTTGCTTCATAATCCAAGTACTTCAATCAAAAAAAAAATTTAAAATATAATGTCTCCAACAAAGTTAGATATATGGCAAAGTTTTCTTATAAGTAGAGCCATCGATTGTTTTTTTCTTAATTTATTCCGTTTTAACCGAATTTCTGTTATATGTATCGTATTATTTCCTCTTATATTCGTTTCTAAATTTTCAGCGATTGATTTTATATCTATATATCATTTTTTGTAATTTTTTACCTCTTTCCGTTTGTATTCTTCACTATCTATTTACTTACATACTTCTTGTTACGCAATGATTTTAATGTTTTGTGATTACTATTCTAGTCCATTTACCCACGTTTGACCTCCTATTTCCAGTGTTTAACTATTGATAAGACTATTGTTATCATTATTTACTATTCTAACTACTATCAGTACACCTGTCTTCCCACTATCAACTTGTACTTTTAACTATTATGCTTGGTTACCTATTCTATTTCATTGTGATTATTGACTCAAATAGCCTTGATTGGTCTAACATTTTCATATAAATATTCATGTATAGTAGAGTAAAGCCTGATGACGATCTAATTGAAAACAATAGTTCGCTTACATATATTGTTCTAATTTTCACAATGGGAATCTTTAATATTCTAAAAATATAAAGTCATATGTTGTTTTTTGAACGTTTGTTAATGGCTTACAGAGTAACACTTAAAAAATTACTTATCAACAGTTATCTATTTGGTTTTTTATTATACTGAAATTCATCAAATATTTGTTTTTGTTACTTTCTAGAATGTATGTATTATATAAAGATCATTGAATAACTAATGTTTGTCAGAAAATGTGTATGCAAACATCCAAGTAACATTGTAGACAGTTTGATGATCTATCTGTTAAGTCCATTCAATGTAAAACTAAATTCTATTTATTTATTTATTTAACATTAGGTTAGTGCTCTAAACAGTTAAGTGTTAACTCAGAGTTGAGAACATTCAATGCATGAAGTTAAAATCAATTACTTTCATAATGAAATGTTTATCGTTACCATGGCCTTGATTTTATTATTATCATTCTTTTATTATTATTACTCCATTTCCCCTTTACTTATATCTTATATTCTCATTATTTTATTTATGAATACTCATCATATCACCTTATTTATTTTTACAACTCTATGACCTTTAATGACCTTTATTTATTGTAACCAAAACATTTTATTCATTTTAATCGTCTCATTATATTCACTAAATCTATTGTTATTACTCATATTACGTAATCTAGTATTATAATCTTGGTTATTAGTGTTCACATTTCCTCACGGAATTAGTACTTTAATAAAACAATTTCATATATATACGACTGTACAGCTTCATAATAAATTCGTTGAAAAGAGATCCCTTCGCTGAACTTTGTGTTTTAATTAAACTTCATGCATACCAAAATAAATTACCGATATTTTCGCACTTTAGATATATCTATACTAATAATGAACTTCCAATTCAATTAAACAGTCATATATTCTTTCTCAAGTGATAATATTCTCCTTTAATATCCATATTAGTTTTGATAAGAAATTCATTATATCTTATAAAAACAAAAAAAAACGATTCTTGACTTGATCAAATTCCATAAATAATTTCAAGGATAAGAAAATATTGCGTGATTGTATAAATAAAAAGAAAAGATTGTAAACATTGTAAACAATTTCACATGTATGATTTTCATAAACATAAATGTAAACATAAATGGTATAAAATAAAAATAGTTTATATTTATGTTATAACCAGAAACCCCTAGAGTTATAATCAGCATCCTCTACGTTTATAACAATTGGCGACGGTTATTAAAACGGATCTACGCTTACATATTCAGTTAAAGTGAATTTTATAACAGAATGGATGATCTGAAAACCTTACTACAACAGCAAAATACTATTATCGAATTATTAGTCACGAATATGTCAATATCCTCAAGAACGAATGTGTCTAATTCCACTGTGACTCCGGATTCTATCGCAAATTCAATAACTGAATTTAGATTTGATTCAGAAAGTGGAGTTACTTTTGAGGCGTAGTTTAAACGCCATGAGGATTTATTTAATAATGAATGTAAAGAGTGGGACGAAAGTTCAAAATTGAGATTATTATTAAGAAAGGTCGGATTGTCCGAACATGAAAAATTATTTAATTTTATCCTCCCAAAAAAGCCAACCGACATAACGTTCAAAGAAACAGTTAAATGCCCGACACGTATATTTGGAGAACGGTCATTAATTTTCCACACTAGATGCCAGTATCTTCAACTTGTAAAGAAAGTACAGGACGATTACGTAACGTATGCAAGCATCGTGAACCGGGAATGTGAGCGGTTCCGTTTACCAGAAATGTCCTCAGATCGATTCAAGTGCCTTATTTTTGTATGTGGATGTAGATGCAGATATTAGAACACGGATTCTGGCGAGAATCGAACAAGATCCTAATATCAGTCCACAATCAGTATCCGAAGTGTCAAAGAATGGGTAATTTGAAGCATTACACGAAACTCGTAGAAAGGAAAAATGAACACGTGGGAGTTAAAGCCTTGCGTAAATCTTTTAATGGAAATAAAGACTCGAACTCCCAGAAAATCCCAAACCAAGTGAAACATAAAACGTCATGCTGGAGATGTGGTAAGTGTCATTCTGACAAAGTTTGCTACTTTAAAAAACGAGTATGCTTTCAATGTGGTAAACATGGTCATGCTCAAGTATGTTGCAAAAGTAAACCAAAGGTTTCTGACCGTCAGCACAAGTTCCTCAAAGGAAATCAGATACAGACTTCAAAAGAAATACCACATAACTGCAAATTAGAGGAAGATTGCGTGGTTGCTTCCATATCGCTTGAACCGGAAATAAAAAGAGTGTTCTGTGATGCTATCAGAATCCTACCAGTAACGGCGGAAGCAGTTAAAGAAGCCACAGCTAGTGATCCTCTACTTAAAAGAATGAAAGAAGCTGTTTTAGAGGGTTGGAAAGAGGATAAAGCTGATCGACAATTTCACCAATTTTTCCTGAGACGTGAGTCTATATCGATTTATGATAATTGTTTGATGTATAGCGATCGTGTTGTTATCCTTAAATCTCTTCAGTTTCTTGTGCTTAAACAGTTTCACATTGGTCATCCGGGAATAAACAGAATGAAATCAGTTATGCGTAGTTATGTCTATTGGCCATTCATGAATAAGGCTGTGGAAGAATATGTAATGAGATGTCGGCGATGTGCCGAAGTCGCAAAAGATCCCCCGAAAGTAGAATCCCAGCCATGGCCAGAAACGACAAAGCCTTGGGTCCGACTACACGTTGATTATGCTGGACCAATATGTGGACAATATTTTTTGGTGGTGGTAGATTCGTAATCAAAATGGCCTGAAATTTATGTAGTACGAAGACCATCTAAGTGTGAAACACTGCTACATATGAGACAACTATTTGGTAGGTTTGGTACACCTAATGTTTTGGTTTCAGATAACGGAACGCAGTTCACGTCGTTAGAGTTTGCGAAGTTCTGTAAACAAGATGGAATCGATCACATTAGAACTCCACCGTATCACCCTAAGTCGAACGGGCAAGCATAGAAACTTGTTGATATACTTAAGCGAGCTCTCTCAAAGATGGGAGGAGAAGGCAACGTAGAAGAGGCTCTGCAACAATTTCTCATTTCTTATAGAATTACGCCAAGTCCAAACTATCGAAACAAGAAATCACCAGCCGAAATAATGTTTGGCCGACCGATTAGAACATTTTTTGATGTTTTGAACCCGAAAGACAAAATGAGTGGACAACAAAAAATAAGAATGGGAATTGCCCGAAAATTCGAGAATTCAAAGCAGGTGATTTAGTTTATGCACACGATTTCCGGCCTGGCAAGCCAAAATGGATATTTGGGTGTATAAAAAAACGACGTGGTACAGTATTGTATGAAGTGATGGTCGAAAATACACTAATTATTAGACATGTAAATCAATTGCCAGATAGAAAATGTGTTTATGAGTCATCTAAACTCAAACCATTAACAATGGAAGTATTATGTGATACGTTTAATATTCCACCACCACCACCACAAGTTGAAGTGAGAAAAAATGATCTGAAATCAGAAGTTAAACGAAGGTCATTCAGGAAACGGAAACAAACGAAATTTTTTCAAATAGACCCTAAAGTGAAATCATACGATCAAACTTCGCGAGGTGGTGGTGGTGGGCGTTGTTACAGTTGTGGTGAGTCAGGCCACAACGTTCGAAACTGCCCAAATAATAATAGCGACACGCTATGCTACAGATGTAATAAATATGGTCACTTCGCGAGAGACTGTACGGAAAGTGGAGGTTCTGGACCCCAGCGCTATAAATGTCACGGTTATGGCCATATAGCAAGTCGATGCAATGTGGAGGCGTAAATGAAGTCCGTGTGAGAAGTGAAAGGACTGTTATAACCAGAAACCCCTAAAGTAATAACCAGCATCTTTACGTTTATAACAGTTTATTTGTTATTAAGATAGTTATTATTGATTTTGCAAAATAAATCTAAAATGATGATGACAATAATCAAAGAAGCTAACAAAAGTTAACAACTATTTCAACTACAAAGTTTCAATCGATCCACTACATAAAATTTTGTTACTTCATTCCCTTTATTCCCTTCTTATTCCCCAACCCCACCCCCGCCGCATAAAAAACCTGTAATATATTTTGATTAGATTTTTGTCTTCGTTTTATAATCACGACAACACAAATTAAGAAAAAAAAAGAAAATTTGAGCGAATGACAAAAGAATTTACTTTTATAGGAAATTGGAGTTATGTAATCAAAGTAATGTGAATTCTGATTG